CTAGAGCCGAGTACCAGGGAAGGGTATCAGCTCTTGAAGAAGCTATTGGTAGCGAGAGTGAAAAGAGACTCAGTCAGAGGTAGATAAGGGAGAGGAGTGGAAGGAGAGAGAAGAAACACTGCGGGTGTGAGATGGAGGCAAAGTACTTGGAGCAAGTTGAGGAGATTCAGCAAGAGTGTACCAGAGACAAGGAGGCTGCTCTGGATGACTCTGGAAGGAGGACTACAGACTGAGCTGAGGAGAGCTCAAGACATCCACAAACAGGCCCTGGTGGTGCAGCGGGAACAGCTTCAGACTGACTTTGAGGGGCAACTATTAGCCGCACACGAGACAATTCAAACTCTGCAGGCTGAGCTCCAGAGGGCAGGTCAGCGGGAGGGGGTTAACATTGAGGAAGTGATGGCTAAGGCTGCCAAGGAGCAGGCGGTAAAGTATGAGGAGATGCTACGAGAGGTACACCAGGCTGGGGTAGTGGCCCTGGAGGCAGAGAGAGAGGAGGAGAGAGGGAGACATCAGGAGGAGGTGGAGAGACTCAGGGAGGACTTTGACACCAGACTGCACCAAGAGTTGGAGGAGGTGAGAGACAAATACACACATAATACAAATGTACATTACTGGAATCGCGATGGGTGTGGTGTGTTGTGTGATGCAAACCAACTCAACATGATTCTGTGTCACAAAAGTCCATTTCCCTTCACATTGTCTAGACACCAAACAACGTATTACTGTACATCTGTATATTTGTGTTGTGTCTGCAGTTGACCCAGTCCCACAAGGCAGAGGTCGGTCTCCTGCAGCAGCAGTACCAGACACAGCTGGACTCACTCACCCTCTCCCACCAGCACAATAAGGCTCAGGTAAACATGTAGTACAAGTGAGCGTTAACTGTGCCCTAGCTAGCACAGGTATTTGAGGCTTCGCTATTTGTGGTGTATTGTGCAACACTTTTGTATATATTATACATAGAGTAGATTTGAGCCCTTTAAAATGGAGGAAGTGATTTATGATGACAGCTGTTTCAAAATACGTACATTGTGACTTGTGTTGTGTCTGTGAAGGCCAGAGAGGCGATTGAGAAGAGTGTGAGGACGAGTACAGAGAAGGAGTTCCAGTCTCGACTCCAGCAGCTACAGAATGAACACACCACCCAACTCAGGTACGTGTCAAGCAAGTGATGCTGCAGAAATACAGGTTCAGCTGTGGACGGCCATCTTAGCCCTCACTGTGTATATACATGTAGCGATATGTACATGCTTGTAAGCTGGGTTTTAGCTAGCAGGGTTGCAGGGGGTTATCCCTTTTACATGGAAGTATGCAAAAATCAACTTACAGCATGTATAATGAACTGTCTAAAGTGTATACAAATTCAGTGCAACATCCCTTCACTAATGTTTTTCCCTTACTGCTATATTGTGTTGTGACCAATGTTGGTGGCAATGATGATAGGGTTCAGAGAACATGTGTTCCTGTGTCTGTGTTTTGTGTGTCCATTTTACTGCATTGTGTATGTATGTATTATCTAATGTATGATGTTATTGTTCATGTGTGTATGTGTCAGTGTCGTGCATGTGAGAGTGGTTCTGAAGGCCAGTGGTACACTCTGTATGTTCATACCAGTGCTCTAATTGATGTGCTGCAAGTGCATTTGAGGCTACATTCAGCCAGTGATAGTACCTCAGAATGGCCACCTCACATTGCACACTGTGTTTGTGTGTGACACAGTACACATGCTGTGATCTCAACCACCAACTGAGCCACTGAATAAACTGTACTAAGTGTTTACATGTGTTTCCAGCAAGTCCCCTCAAGTGTATGGCTTTTACACCACCTTAAACAATTGGCTACAGCTTCCGTATTTTCTCAATCCTCAAATAGACACTGCACTGTAGGTGCTGAAAACATTGGTAGCCTCTGCCTCTATTCACTGTGTTAAAAGGTTGATTGGCTGTGATATACTACACAGAGTGGTGGAGGAGGAGGGGGCAGAGAGAGTGGCACAGGTACATCAAGAGCTGGAGAGAGTTAAGGTATATACATTTCTTGTGTATGTTGTTCTCTGTGTGTGTGTGCTCTGCTGCTTGCTGCACAAGGATTGGTAGGTTTGCAAGTCCTGTTAAAAATGAACCTGGGTGCCTCTTATGTTCAAGTCTGTGGCATCTTTCTGGTTATTGACTTGCAGCGAACATAAGTAGTTGTGTAAGTATAGGGGGGGAACATGTAATTATTTATCTGTGTAGAGCATGTGCAACTTTTATCCACCAGGAGGAGCTGGTGGAAGTGAGGGAGGTTGTGGAGGAGCAGCGAGGAGTCCTGAGGGAGAGAGAGGAGGAGAGGGAGAGACTGAGTCTCCAGGTCCAGGCAGCTGTATCAGGAGAAAGGGATAGGGAGGACCAGAGGGACAGACAGCACCGCGAAGACACTGCCTCTCTTGCCATCCTCCAGAAACAACTGAGTGCTCTCACCAATGAGAAGTACATAAGACCTCCGTGATAATAAAACATTTACACCACCCAATTTAGGTTACACAAATTATTGCACTGCGTGTTCCTGCAAGATTTTGAAATGTTGGGGCTTTGTGTGATTGTAACTGCATCTGCCTTGCTCTGTGCTTGTAGCATGACTGTCATCAGGAACACATGATCTAAAGTATTAATTTACATTTTGGTGAACCGAGCTTACCGAATCGCGCACGCTTCTAATTTATCCGACGTTACTGTAAGGTCCTATGTGATTCAAAAACGTGCATGCATCAACTGAAATGTCACAGTCATTCCTCCACGTGACTGCAACCCTCGTATTTGCTCATCCAGTGATGCAAAATGCACGTAGATGCAATGTACAATGAAAAGCA